GAAAGTAGAGTTAATACATGTTTCAAATTGTGCATCCACATATTGAGATAAATTAATCAAGTTCATCCTTACTAATTTAAATATTATACGAATAATTCTGTATCATTTAATGTGTTTATCATTATACCTGTGTAAGTTGACTATATCTCTATTTTTGTTTGATTCGATAAAAATTTTGTTAATTAAATAAATTTAATTGTATTTGTAATTAAGTCATGCCTAAACATTGCTTACCAATATTCTTAATCAAATGCATTAACCTACGCAGGATGATGAAACTGAATAAGATTGGTAAAAAAATGTTTTAATTTTATATTTAAAGAAGAAAGCGACATTTTGGATCTATTCAAAATAAAAGACTTTGAAAATATTATCCGACAGGGTGATAAATACTAGTCTAGCTATGCAATTGGTTAGTCGGTTTTCTGTTTTATTGTGGCCCGACAAATATGCCCATTGTGGTTAGATTACTATATTTTTCAATTAAATAGGTATATGTTAATATGATTTCAATAGCATACAGTGGATCATTGTCCATACAGAGATATGTGAATCATGCATCAAAAATATATTCATACAAATAGTGAATTTTATGAATGCATGTATAGAAACAGTGAACCTTTTTTTTTTTTTTTTTGGATGCATAGAAACAGTGAACCTAAATGTACTCAATATTATATTCTAAGTAAAGGATCGGAAGAGTAAAGGAAAGGGGGAGGGGAGGGGAAGGGAGTGAGTATACCGAATAAGTCCAGTAATACTCTGATTTATAAAGAAATAAAATATTACAAATAATGAACCTCATAAGTAGCAAAAATGAGCTTAGAACTTCAATTAGTTTGTACATGTTCAAATAATGAACGGTATACACACAAAGATTGAATCTTATGCATATAAATAATGAACATTCAAACAATTTTTATTCTATTTTATAAACATTCAAATAATAAAGGAATAAGGTTCAAATTAGCCACTGAACGTAACCTGAAAATGCAATTAGGCCACTGAACGGAAAAAAAAAAGTGCAATTAGGTCACTGAACACTCCAAAAATGTGCAATTAGGTCACTGAACACTCCAAATGTATGCAATTTCACCGGATAGCAGGTTACCATCAATTTTAGTAGGTTATCTGCTTACGTAGCAGCTGAGTTGGCATTTTTAATAATTTTTAAATAAATTTTAATAATAAATTTTTTTAAAATCTGAAAAAAATTTATAAAAAATAAAAAATAAAAATAAAACGACATGTCATTTTTTTTAAAAAAATATTATTAAAATTTATTAAAAATTAGTTAAAAATTATTAAAAATGCCAACTCAGCTGCTACGTAAGCAAGTAACCTGCTAAAATTGATGGTAACCTGCTATCAAGTGAAATTGCATACATTTGGAGTGTTCACTGGTCTAATTGCACATTTTTTTTTTTCGTTCAGTGGCCAAATTGCATTTTCAGGTTACGTTCAATGGCCAATTTGAACCTTATTCCAATAATAAATATTACGTACGTATAAAAATAATGTACCATTATGGCATTATGCATCGAAATAATGTACTATATGTATGATCCAGCTGTGTGAACCATAGTCCACCTAATAAACATTGGAATTCAATAAGATTCAAAAATCTAGTACCAATTGTTAGGTCAAATAATTACCGCTATGTTTGTCAAAAAAAAAAAAAGAAAAAAAAAGTTATCGCGCGTTACGTCAAAAGTTATAACTTGTAATGAATACGTAACTTTATTTTTTTTTCTTTGCTTAGCAACTAACACCACATTTTGAATTGGTAGCAAAAAGCTGGATGCAATTGGCTCTCCAGATTTCCTGTTGGGTGGAGGCTTGGAGACCCGAGTTCAACACCTTATAACCATCGGAATGTGACAGTGTGACATTGATTGTTACCTACGTATAATAATGAAATAAAGTTGTGTTTTTGTTATTAGCTATAACTTTTAATGTAATGGTAAATTCTTAATCTTAAGTATAATTAAATAAAATTACACATTCGGTATTGATTATATAATTTTTTATATAGTAAGTGCTTGATCTTAATAGTAGTATTCAACAATACACATGTATATATCATTCCTTAACCAATTTACATTAAAAAACATAAATATATCATTGCAACTTTCCGTATGGGGAATATGGCACTTTTAGGCATAGAATTTTCCGTAATCCGATCCCTAACCTGAAGATATGCATTTTAAGGAAAAATTTTACAGTATCATGTACTAAAAAATTTTCTCTCTAGAATTCTAGGGTTTTGCTTTCTCTCCTAGGGTTTTGGCTAGGTTTTTCGCTATTCCATCAGCTTTCTCCGGCGTGTTTGCTGGTTTCCGATTAATAGCAAGGCAGCGCTAATTCGCTAATCAGCAAGGCGATATGGCGGACACCGAACAGGAGCACCATGTGGCAGAATTAACGCAGCGTACGGCCGAAATTGTGATTGACGATGAAGATGTTTGTTTCGCACCGGTGGAGGAGGAGGGCGGGACTGAGGGTGCCGAGCAGCCGGTACAGACGTGGAGTGTAGTTGGTAGATTCCTAACAGCACGTATGATCAAATTGGAATACATGAGGCAAGTATTGGCGTCCGTATGGCAACCGGTGATGGGGGTTACGGTAACGGAGATATATAAGGGATTGTTTTTATTCGTTTTCTTCCACAAAACGGATGTTGAGTATGTTTTGAATGGTGGTCCGTGGGCATTCGAGAACAATACATTGGTTTGCCGGTTGGTGGAGGATGGAATGTTACCGATTGATGTTGAGTTGAACTCGGTTGATATGTGGGTACAGCTTCATGATGTCCCTATGGGTTATACGTCCCTTCCAATGCTTGAGCAGATGGGGAACTTTATTGGAACGTTTGTTAAACATGATGAGAGATTTATGGGGGCGCCTTGGCTAGCGTTCTATCGGATCCGGGTATCGATCCCGGTGGACAAACCTTTACGAAGACGTATGAAGTTGTTGAAACGGGACAAGACCACTTGTTGGATTAATTTCAGGTATGAACGGTTGCATTCTTTCTGCTTCTTTTGTGGGCTTTTGGGACATACATACAAATTCTGTGTCAAAGCCCGGGTCTCTACAATACCGGTTCAGCTTTATCCGTATAGTGCGGAGATGAGAGTTGGGGGAGGCCGTGGACCGAGGGAGGTGGGGGAGAGCTGGCTGGTCCCAGTGGGGGGACTGCCACGGGTAGCCGAGGGGGTGCGGGAGGAGGGAGGCCGAAAGGGCGGTGCGGTGGGGGAGGGTGTGCTGCGGGTAGGGCCGGTTGTGGATGGTGGGGCCGAGGAGGCGGTTGAGGCGGTTTCGAAGAGAAGAAGGGAAGGGGGGTATGGGGGAGGAGGGCGGGGTAACGGTGAGGACATTACCATGGCAGATGTGTCAAAAAACTTGTTCATGGCGGGTGCTGGTTCCCAGACCCGCCCAACATTATGAGTACGTTGAGTTGGAACTGTCGTGGCTTGGGTAATCCACGAACAGTTCGAGAGATTGTGGACATGGTGTCCAGTAAGAAGCCCGATTTTGTATTTCTGATGGAGACCATGGTTGCCCAGGATCATGCGGAGCGGCTCCGAGTGAAACTTGGCTTCGATGGTGTGTTTAAAGTTGATAGTGTGGGGACGAAGGGAGGATTAGCTTTAATGTGGAGAACGAATGGAACGGCAAGCCTGTTGAGTTACTCTAAAAATCATGTGGATATTGAGGTAACAATGCCGGGGTTTGACAAGTGGAGGATGACAGGGTATTATGGTTATGCGCAAAGAGAAAGACGGAATGATTCTTGGGAATTCATCAAGTCCTTATCACATCGCTCTGAGTTGCCATGGGTTATTATAGGGAATTTTAATGATCTCTTATATCAGTATGAGAAGCGAGGGGGTAATCCCCATCCAGAGGCACTATTACGTGGCTTCGGAGAGACTATTGATGAGTGTGGGCTAGCTCAATTACCTATGCAGGGGTACCCGTTTACCTGGGAAAGAGGAGAGGGGACAGTAGACTGGATTGAAGAAAGATTGGATAAAGTGCTGGTCACGCAGGAATGGCGAGATGTGGTGAGAGAGGCAAGTGTCTTGAACATTCTAACCCGACGCTCAGATCATTCTGCTCTTTTCCTTGGGATTCTGAATCTTCGGGAAAGGACGGGTGGTGGGAGAAAAGGGTTCCGGTTTGAGATGGCCTGGCTTCATGATGAGGGTTGTAGGGGTGTGGTTGAGACGACATGGATTGAAGGAAGAGATAGAGGTTTACAAGCCTGTATCGAATTATGTGGTAATAAGTTATTGCGATGGGGAGGTGATAAATATCATAGGTTTGATGAGAAATTGCGGTGCCTACGCAAGGAACAATTGCGGTTACGGGGACGCACAGATCAAAATTCATTGGCTGAGTATCAGCAGTTAGAGGAACGCCTGGCCCAATTAGAAGCTCAGGAGGATGCCTTTTGGAAACAGAGGGCGAAACAACACTGGTTGAAGGGGGCAGACGCGAATACAAAGTTCTATCACAGGTATGCCTCTCACCGTAAAAAGAAAAACACAATTTCAAAAATTATGAATGATAATGGGGATTGGGTGGAGGGAGAAGCCATGAAAACAACTATTTTTGATTATTATCGAGATATTTTCTCGTCAAACCAGTCCCAGATGGATGAAAGTTTTTATGCCAATATCTTGCCCCGGGTGACACACACGCAGAATGAAGAGTTATTGCGCCCCTTTGAAAAGGATGAGCTGAAAACAGCCTTGTTTGCTATGTTCCCGGATAAGGCACCCGGCCCGGATGGAATGAATCCGGGTTTTTATCAGCAGTTCTAGGATGTGGTGGGAGGAGATGTGTCGGATTTTATTGTGGACTGTTTGAATACACGGACCTTCCCAGCCAACTTGAATGATACTGATGTGGTTTTAATACCGAAGAAGAAAAATCCAGAACGGGTCACGGACCTCAGGCCTATAGCGCTAAGCAATGTGATTTATAGAATTATGGCTAAAATGATTTCAGCCAGGATGAAGCCACTCATGGATGATATTATTTCTGATACACAGAGTGCATTTATACCTGACAGATTGATTACAGATAATATTTTGATAGCGGCAGAGGTTGGCCACTTTCTGAACAGAAAACAATGTGGAAAGGTGGGATGGGGTGCTTTAAAGCTGGATATGGCGAAAGCGTATGATCGTATGGAATGGCCTTTCCTACGAAACATGTTAACAGCTTTGGGCTTTAGTAATATATGGGTGGAGTTAATCATGTTATGTGTGACTACTGTGTCATATAATATCAAACTGAATGGAACCCGAGGTTTGCCAATCATCCCATCTCGCGGACTCAGGCAGGGAGACCCATTATCCCCGTATCTATTTATTATCTGTGCAGAGGGACTATCTTTATTGCTACAACAGGCACAGATTCAGGGAGCAATTCATGGGTGTAGAGTTGCAAGGGGTGCACCTTCTATTTCACATCTATTCTTTGCTGATGACAGCCTACTATTTTTTAAAGCAAATGTGCAGGAAGCAAGTGCGATAAAGCAGTGTTTGACACGGTATGAAAATTTATCTGGCCAAGTGGTAAATTATCATAAGTCCAGCATATGTTATAGCAAGAACACACAGGATGATAGTAGGGAGGAAGTGGCGCAGATACTGGGGGTTACTCAGGCACCAAACTTTGGAAAATATTTGGGACTACCCTCATTTGTAGGGAGAAATAAAAAAGCAGCATTTTCATATATTGAGGATAAGATAAGGCAAAGAATCCTATCTTGGAATAAGAAATTGTTATCGCAAGCTGGTAAGGAAATCTTGTTGAAAAGTGTGGCTCAGGCAATGCCCACCTTTTCAATGAGTGTCTTTTTATTACCTATGGGGATTTGCACAGCTATTGAGCGAACAATGAACCGGTATTGGTGGGGATCTGGGAATGAACGAGGAATCCATTGGAAGGCATGGGACAAATTGTGTATACCAAAAAAGTATGGTGGCTTGGGTTTTAAAGAACTGCACACATTTAATATAGCAATGCTGGGCAAACAGGCATGGCGCTTGTTAACAAAACCTGACTCTCTGGTCTCACGAGTTTACAGAGCGAGATATTACCCAAAAGGGACCTTTTATGATGCCAAAGTAGGAAATAACCCCAGTTTCTGTTGGCGTAGTATAATGGCAGCTCAGAGCATGATTTGTAGCGGAACGAGGCGCAGAATTGGAAATGGAAAGACAACTCTAATCTGGGACCACCCATGGTTACAAGATGAACACGACCCAATGGTTCATACTGATAAGCCCCCATATTTAAATAATGCAGCAGTGTTGGGATTAATTGATCATGAGACACAAACCTGGGATCCGGATATTTTGGCAGATATTTTTATTCCTACGGATGTGGCTAGGATAAAAAGGATTCCAGTATCACCGGACTATGAGGATATGTGGTATTGGCATGGTGATCAGGGAGGTAATTATACTGTTAAGAGTGGCTACAAAGCAGTTGTGGGAGATCTCAATGATAATACAGACACGCATAATTGGTTACGCCTATGGAAATTAAAAGTTCCCCCCAAATGGAAGACATTCTTGTGGAAGGCTTTGAGTGGTATCCTCCCTACTACAACGAATTTGATTATAAAGAGGGTGGAAATCCAACCAATACGTGCTATGTGTGGAATAATGGATGAAGACACAATGCATGCTTTAGTAACATGTGGTTATGCAAGTTCCATTTGGGCTCAATCTCACCTTCCAATCCCCATGATAGCAACAAATGTTTTTCATACTTGGTTTAGTGAGCTATTAAATATTTTAGACACTAACCAAATTGTTCACGCAGCTGCAATATTATATCATATTTGGAGAGCCAGGAACGGAGCGGTATGGGACGCGTGTCTACCGCGACCACGAAAAGTGTTAGCCTTGGCCGAAGCAACCGCACTTGCATGGCAAAGAGTCCACCACACCCACCCACAAACGGACCAAGGGGCTGCCGCACAAAGCAGTGCTACTGCCACTGCCGTGACACGGCAGCAGCAGCACTACAACACGGCAAATGCCGTGACTGCTATGGGGATCGCCCAAGAGGGCGCACGGAACGAGCCTGCCGAGCCGAGACGGAGATGCTATGTCGATGCTGGATTCATGCCAGCTACAGGAAGGGCTACGGTTGGCGCGGTTTTGTTCGACGAGGAAGGGGGATATGTATCGGCATTCAGTGCACCCTTGTCAGATTGTCTGTCCCCGCTTATGGCTGAAGCAATAGCATGTAAGGAAGCCTTGTCTTGGTTATGGAATCGTGGAGAGCGCTCAGTACACATACTCACGGATTGTTTGACCCTGCAACAGTATTTGACAAATCAAGCTATCACTGTTCGGACTTACGTTGGCTATGCCATTGATGCTTGTAGAGCATGCATTATTTCTTTTGATTATTGTTCAGTTAATTTTATTCCTAGATCAGAGAACTATTTAGCACATAGTCTAGCGGCTACTGCATTTAATTCTTCTACGATTATGTATTCGGACGATGTCCCTCCAGACTCTATTTCTGAGTACCTTTAATATATGCCTTATTGGCCACCTTTCAAAAAAAAAATACAATTTTCTAAAAATAGTAAGAATGTCAAAATTAAACTATTACAATGTATATTAATCTTCTCCTTCTCCCAATGTATATTAATCTATTAATGTTAGAGGGGGGCTTGAGAGCTCAGTTCAACATCCTACCATTAAAATGTAACATTAAATATTATGTAATTATAAGAAATAAAATTTTATTAAAATGTGACACACCGACTAGTATACATGCATAAAAATAAATAAATAAAATTAGACATCTGCTACTGGCAGTAGTTTTTGACTTAATACTAAGGTTTGATCAGATCAGAGTATGTATATCACAGGTTCGCTGGTAGGGCGGCTAAGAAATCATTTAGGCCCCCAAAATCTGCTGCAACTAAAGGACTCACAAAATGTTTGTAAGGCCAACATTGCTAGGGTTAAAATGAATGAAACAAAAGCTAAAATCTTCCATGAGACATCTGCATTTTTCTTCATCCTCCTATACAACCTCACAACCATCCTCCTATCATAGTACTCATTCACCTTCTTGATGGCAACCTCAATGTTGGATCTCTTATCTGCTTTTATGAAAAACCTTTTCATTCCATTGAAGAGGTCTGCAGTTTCTTGGTCACTGAGAGTAGAAGTGCCCTTGATCACCCCATTTTGCCTAAGCATCCTCACATCTTCTGCAGTGTCCACAATCCCATTCATCAGATTGACGTACCTCGCGAATTCCAAGGTTGATTTGAGCATGGAAGCCTCGTATGCTACGAGGTTTCTCAGTATAACTTCCGAGCATGAGTTTAGAGTGATGACTGGGAGGTAAAGGGCGGCTTCGTGTTCGTCGAATTCGATGTTGCAGATGCTGCCTCCTTGCAGAATTGGGGAGCATTTGACACGAGCGTAACGCCATAAGGACGCCACTGAAGGGAATGTTATCTCGTCTTCATCGTCTCCATCGATCTTTGTGGCTGTCCTGAACAGACCTGAAATGGTGGTCCAAGGAATCACGTTTTTCACATCCTTAACCGGCTTTATAATCTTTTGAGTGGGTTTAGGACCCAGAGTCTCCACAAAATCTATAATTTCCTCAAAGTTTTCAAACATGTCTTGATCTTGGTCGTCGTCTTCTTCATTGACAATCAACTTGGTTTCAGGACTGCCTTTTTGTATCTCCTGTATTGGAACCTCAACGCAGGATTCAGGACTTTTATCCTTGACAATCAAATGGTACATGAGATCTAGCAGATGCAGAGGTTGTCGGGAATCATTGAAGAAATTCCTCGATTCCATTGAGATTTTCAACGGCGAATGCGCCTCGCAAAACCTCAACAACATCCAGAACACTTCATCGAAAGGTGATGACAGTTCAACCAGGTTCAAGATTTCATTGAGAAGAATGACAGGAATCTGATTCTCGAGTAGGATTATGTCCCGAGTGAGAATATTGTCACCACTTAGACATCCACCTTGAACATCATAGGACGACAAAAGAGTATGCAAAACGTGGATCAAGAACAAGCCATCAATGGCGATAATCCAAGCCAAAGTGCCTTCTTGGAGGTCCATGAACCTGCTGTAACACGCGCGAATCATGGGGTCCATTTGCTTCAACTTATCAACAACAATGTGTTGAAAGTTGAGGATTTGTGAGGGGTCAAGAATCTGTTTAATGGCTGCAAGCTTGTACCTCTCCATGTGATAGAGCTCGGGCATGAGATGATGGTAAGGCCCCATGCCCACCAATTGAGGAGTGTAAGCTTGTGGGTTTTGATGAATCAAAAGTTTTGGGACTTGGAAAACACAAAGGGGTGGGAGATGATCAAAGTGGATTTCAGATTCTTTCTTGAACACATTGCTTATTCTTTCTTCCCATAGCCTTGCACTAGAGGGTGATGAAGTTTTTGGACTTATTAGGTTCTTTTCTAAGGCCATTTTTTGGGTACTTTTTCTCTTCTAATTTCTTTGCTTCAAAGGGTTTGTGAAGAAAAATTGATGGTTTGGTTTGGCTTATATAGAGGTAACGTAGGGAGGGGGAAGCAGGGCTAACTGGTCTTGAGTCTTTATTATTATAATTATTATAATACTCTTTGCATGTCTATCTCATAAATAGTGTGCATTTCTAACAATTATAAACTCAATATAATGACATAATTAGACTATGATGACAAAATAAACATATATATAAATTAACAACAATAAACTTGAATCCCTCTTCATCCATTCCAAACATATTCTTATCTTTAATTTGGTGGGACACACATATATAGACATATAATCGACAAATTGGTGAAACTTTCTTTTTCAAATGAAAGTGGATTGGAGCTCCCGGTTTCCTTGCATAGGATCCTTCAAGATGACCAATTAGAACCCTATGTATGTATTTAAGAGAGTTATATACATTATTGTACGTATTTATGAAAAGTTACACATGACTATGATTGATTTTATATGGTTTGTAAACTATTACGTTTGAATAGGGTTTATTCGATACTCAAGTACTAGTACATTGTAGATTTCTATTGTAATCCCAAAAAAAAATATTAATAAGATTGAGTTAATAATACCCAATATAGTTCTTGACTATAATTTAGTACCAAATAATTTTTTGTAATCAATTTAGTTATCGACTTTGATGATTTTATACAATTTAGTCCTTTTATTTAAAATTATGTTAGTTGAAATAAGCTCTTAATGGTATTTATCATCCTTATCCTATTTGGGATGATTCCTTCTCCTTCCCCAAATAAACTTCAACCCTAAATAAATAAATATTTGCCTACATCTTTTTTTTTTAAATAATTTTTTTAGTTGGATTTGGGTGCACAACCTTTAGAGAAGCAGTAGAGAAGTAGCAGAGAAGCAACAGTATACCATCGTCGTCTGCTCGAGTGCATCACAGAGCTCCAGTACACCTCCTACCGTCGTCGTCTACTGAAGAACACCGTTTTCAACTTGTTGTCCATTGCTCCGTCACTCCATCGTCATCTGCTCGCTGCATCTCTTCCAGCCAGCAAGTTACTTCAAACTTCCAATGGCTTCTGTAATTCAATAATTTTATAATCTATGAAGATATCTATGTGAACCTTAATTAAGGAAGGGAATAAGGAAGGAAGGTTAGGCAAATATTTATTTACTCAGTATTTATTTATTTAGGATATGATTGAAGTTGAATTGGGTACGATTTGCATTTCTGTGTGAATCTTAATAAGGGGAAGAAAAATGAATCATCATAAATGGGATGAAGGATGATAAATTATCATTAGGATCCTATTTCTAACAATCAACTTACAAAATTTTTAACAAAGAAGTAAATTTTGTAAAACCATCAAAGTTGAGGGCTAAATTGAGCATAAAAAGTCATTTAAGACTAAGTTAATTAACATCATTATAGTCGATGATTATATTGGGTATTAACTCTAATAAGATTGAAGCCCATCTTTTCAAAGTCATAAGATTCAATCCTACAGGACTTCTTATACATGGTGAGTTTGTTCCCAATTTTTAGGTACTATTACATAGATGATGGAGTCAAAGTAACTTCCTAAACTTGTATACCTCCAGTTATATTTTAATGCATTTATAAAATTCTATATATAAAGTTTGATTTGTTTGGACCTTACTTGGCACCTTACCCACAATAAATGTTTGATTCTTATTTAGATCATATAGATGATAATCATCAATCAAGTCAACCCATATTTTTTTTATTTAACTACATGCTTTTTGACACATGCGATATATAACTATTGTTAATATATATGGAATATATTAACAATAGTTGCATAGCTAGGAACAAACGACGATACAAACTAGGTCAATATAATATATGTTTATTTTGTATCTTCCTATATATTTTATTTGATCTCAAAATGGTAAGCCTTACCAGAAATAAATAACTCATAACAACATGCTAGGAAATATGTATGGTCAGAAAGGCTGCGGTTTCATGCTAGAGGGGCTGCTTTTATATATATATATATATATATATATATATATATATATATATATATATAGATTTTGAATCCGGTGCACACCCCCTAGTCAGCCGAGCTCGTGAGCACAGTCCCTGATCGTTGATTTTAATTTTTGGACGATTCAGATGTTTGGTTATTTAAACTCACGTGGATGTAGTCATAATAGGTAGTTCTTTTTGTTTCTCTCTCCTTGTTATCGATTTATAATCAAAAAACGCAGCCTCCTCGTCTCTCCCGCCTGCTCTTCTTCCTATCATCTCTTCCCTCCGGTACACAGGTGTTCCGAGCGTTCTCCATGGCCGGTTCCAGTAGGAGGCCGTCTAAGCGGCTTAGGGGCACCTCTTCCGCTTTCAGTTCAGGTATTTTTTTTCTCCATTTCCTTCTATCCTTTTTCTCCTCTTTTGTTGTTTGTTTTGGGGTTTTATTTTCCAGAGGTTTGTGGGTTGGCTAGTGTTCAATAGTGGTTTGGGGTTTTTGTATTTTTCTCGCGGTGTTGTGCTGATTTTTTTTTTTTTTTGTTTTTTTGTTTTTTTTGGGGGGTTTTACCGGTGTGTTTGTTGGTCGGTCGTCAATCGTTAGGGTTTTGGGAGGGGGGGTGCGGCGGGTGTGATGGTGGAAGGGGTACGATTTCTGGGTTAGGGTTTCCTTTTTTTTTTTTTTTTTTTTTTTTTTTTTTTTATTTTTTTTTATATTCTCTAAACGTAGGGGGTCTTGGTCTGGGTGGTACATGAGGTGTTGGGTTTTTCTTACAGTGGGTATTGTTTTTTGTGGGGGGTGTTTGGCGGTGTAGGAATACTTGCATGTGTGATTTATTCTGTTTTTTTTTTTCTCTGGCCGCCATCGATGAGCAGCTTGTATAGTTTCATCTTTTGCAATTTTTAATTATTGTTGTATTTTTTGTGTTGAAAATTGTTTGAATTTCAGTGCTGTTTATTATTTTTATTTTATTGTTTTGAGCTTTTGCCGTGGTATAGTGGGTGCTTGGGTTGGTTTGTGCGTAGAACGTGTTCGTCCTTCTCT